GCTAAATGTGGAAAAACAGGTGGATAAATAAGTAGATATCACTATCCAACTGAAAGGATATGGAAACAAAAGGAAAGCAATGGTATCAAAATAAAGTTTTGTAACAGGTACAGTCCATAGCCAATACCAAATATAAGCCTGGTAACTAGATCAATTAAGATACAGATGCCTACTTCCCTATTTAAAAAATAGTTATCTTTGCTTTTTATATAAATATTGGAATGTATACCAAATTAAGAGTTGGTTTAATGTGTTAATTATTTACACAAAAATTTGAAAATTGTAGCTCATTTATATGTTGATTTTTTAAAATAGGGATTTTATTTACCTTTGACTCTAAGAGGTACAGTGTGTGTTAAGACTACTAACCTAGAGGATGACTTCTATAATCAACTGATAGGATTGTGTAATAAAAGCTTAGCCATATGCTTCTACTAAGATTATAGCCAAGATCTGTTGGTAGTTTATGTGTAACAGATGGGGCTACCCTGAGTTGGGATGGTCTCTAGGGCAAATATTGGGTTTTCCCCTTTTAATTGTTAATTTATTTACTTCCTTTTCTTCACACTTTTTTTCCCCCTCAAAAATGTTTTATAATTTTCTCCACAGAGAATTTTACGTCTTCTACAAGATTTGTTTTTACAATACTCATGATGTTTTTGCTCACATGTATAGTTATTTATTCTGCATTATATTTATTAAAAGATTGATAATTATGTACACGAGCACTATAGATTTTTTTCTTGTGTAAGTCTGCTGTCAGTCTTCTATGCTGATCATTCTGTTTGCATCTTCCCTTCTCACTCCAAGTTCCTGCATCTTTCTCTGGCTACTTAATCCTGCCTACACTTCTATATCAGAAGACCTGTTGTTTCCGTGGGTAAAGCACTCAACTGCTAATCAGAAGGTCAGTGGTTTGAACCCCCCGATTCTCTATTGGAAAAAGTGGTGATGGTGTGTTTCCATAAAGATTCTAACTTTCGGAGCCCCGTGGGACAGTTCTACAATGCCTCAAAGTCACAGTGTGTCAGGGTGAACTCAAAGACAAGGGGGTTGATTTTTTTGGGGGGGGAACGGGGTATTATTTTTTGGGACCTCTTTGTAGACATCCTTCAATAAACAGTCTTCAATTCACTATTATTTTGCATTTGCTTCTTGCTTGAACCCTAACTTTATACGTAGTCTATATTTCTTCTTAGTGAAAGTTGCATCCTGAAGTTTATTCAATAGGTTGACTTGACTGTCTTATCTAATCCAATTAATTCACAGAGGTCTTATGAATCCAATCATTCTACATAAACGTCTTAGGGGGAAAAAACTAAAAATTGATCGATAGATCTAATGCTCTGCTAGTCTTTAAATGTTCTCTTTACTGTTAGCATAGTACACGTAGGGGAATTAG